GATGCACCAACACATCAGTTATTAGGTTGCCCTGGCTGAACTGATTCTCCTCTTTGATAAATCTGAAGATTTGTGACATTGATGTTCTCACTTTACTGAGAGGCAGGAAGCAATCTTGGTGATTCCCACCAGGCTGCTGTGAGGATAGGGATGCCTCAGTGATATAAAGTGATCTCCCCCTCTTCTCGTTTCAGGTTCAATGGATCCAAATGACTTCCTGAGGGAGGCACAGATAATGAAGAACCTAAGACATCCAAAGCTTATCCAGCTTTATGCTGTTTGCACTTTAGAAGATCCAATTTATATTATTACAGAGTTGATGAGACATGGAAGTCTGCAAGAATATCTCCAAAGTAAGCTGAAGACTTAATAAAAGGGAGAAAAAAGAGTAATTTAGTTTAGCAAGTCCTATAAATGTCAATTTAGCAAGCTTTCTATAACCCAAAGGATATTTACTATGTGTATATCTGTGAGAATGAATGTTTTAACTTTGAATTGCTTAACTACTCTTTTATAGGATATATTCCATACACTCAAAGGGAGGAAAAATATTTATGTAGTGGAAGAACAAATTGTTCACAATGGACATATCAGAGTACTTAAATGTAATGTGGAAGATTGAAGAATAGATGTTTTGCATGACGCTTTGTTTCCTACAATAACTAATTGAGCATTATCAGTCATGAACCAATATTTTCTATGGCTCAGAATTAGGGGACATAAAATACTTTTGGGGAAAGGGAAGGAGAGGTGCCATCATTTTTTTTTCTTTGCCTGGTTTGACAACATTGCACTTGTTGGTGTTTAAAATACTTCCACTGTTAGGCAATTTTCAGACTAAAAAGCAGAAATGTACTATTGCTTTATTTCTACATTTGCTTACTGTAGTCAGGTAAGACTTAAGTGCATTGTATTTTTTTTTGATGTTTATTGATAAATAATTTCATAAGCAACAATGTAATAAGCATTAAAATGAAATGTTAAAAGTAGTTGAGATCAAGTACTGAGGAAATACAGTTGTTGACCCTTGAACACTACGGGATTAGGGGTGCCGACCCCCCAAGCAGTTGAGAATCTGCATATAATGTTTTCCCCTAAAACCTAACTATTGCAGTTGTCTCTCAGTATCAGTGGGGGATTTGTTCCAGGACCCCCTGAAGATATAAAAATCCACAGATGCTTAATTACCTATATAAAATAGAGCAATGCATGCAGTTGGCCCTCTGTATCCATGGACTGACTCCCAACTGCAGATCAAAAACAGTACTGGTGTTTATTGAAAAAAAGATCCGTGTATAAGTGGACTTGTACAGTACAAACTTGTGTTATGCAAGGATCAGCAATAATTCATACTTAAAAAAGAGGTTTTTCTATCTTTTCTTGAAATGTCAGAGTGGGAGTGACATAGTATATAGAGGTAAAGGTAGGTGAGACTAATGTAATGAAGATATCAGAAAGATAAGAGAATTCTTTTATTTCAGGTAACTTGTAAAGCTGGTGATACTAAGTTGTGCTATCAGAAGAACCAAGAACATAAGGCCTGTGAAATGCTATTAAAAATAAAACAAAGCAAAAATCCCCCACAAAAATATACCTCACTCCCTTACATAAAGATATAAAATCTAATCCATCATAGAAAGACTAACCTTAGCCGTTGACCCCTTTGTCCTTATTCCCAGGGACAAAAGTATAGGAGTCATCTTGGGTCATCTTTAATAAAAATACTTTGTCAAGGTCACTTATAACACTCACAGTGTTAAAGCTAATAGTCAATTTTTAATTCTCAGACCTATCAGCAGTGTTTTATTTGATGGACACTATCTCCTACTGGTAACACTTCCTTCGTTTAGCTTCCAGGACACTTCACTCAATGGCTTTTCCTCCTATCTTTCTTGCTGGTTCTCAATTTATGTGATTTCCCAGACCTCTCAGTATCTTGCAATTTTCCAGGACACTTTTGCAACATCACTAGTTCCCTTGCTAATCTCAACCAGTTGCATTGTTTAGTAACATTTATGTATTAACAATTCTGCAACTTACATCCTTCTATTACTTCAGAATCATATAGCCAACTGCCTTCTTAACTTCTCTACTTAAATGTTGTGTGAGTCTGAATAATGTACATATGATGTAATAAGGAACAGCTTTCAAGTCCCAGAGACTTAACACAAGTGTTTATTTTGCTTATGCTCCATGTGCAAAATAGATCGACTGGTGGCTCGGCTCTTTTGATCACCTTGGCAGATGTAACCAACCTTATTCTGGCTCTTAAAGCTTTTGACCACGAGTGACAGAGGTGACTTTCGTGCCATTTTCATTCGGCCTAATCAGGTCAAAGGGAAGAGAGGAGTACGATTCCCTAAAGTGCTTGAAAGGAGGCAAAAATAAATGTTTGAGAACAGCCCTAAATTCTACTACATGTGTCTATTAGACATTTTAAAACAACAGGCCCCAAACTGAGATCTTGTATTATTCCCAGCAATCTGCTACTCTTATGGTCCTTCATTCTTTGACAATGTCAACCATCAGGCCTAATATCTTGGAGTCATTTCTACTTCTCACATCCTATATCTAACCCACCAGCAAATCCCATTATCTTTCTTTCCAAATATATCCTGGATTTTTCCACTTCTCAACCCTCCCAGTCTGGTCCAACCTGTCAATCGACTCTCTCCTGGATTCTGCAGTAGCCTCCCAGTTGGTCTCCCTCTTTTGGTGCTTGTCTCCTTCAGTCTCTTCTTAACACAGCAGCTGGAGAGATCCTGTTAAAATGTAAATCAGATCATGTCCCTCCTTAGCTCAGAACTCTCAATGGCTCCCATGGTTTCTTCTCTCTGTATAACCCATCAAGTCCCCAGGACCTGCCTGTCCATTTCCTCTTTCACCACATCTCACAACTTGCCCCATTCACTCTGTGTCAGGTACACTGCCCTCCCCGCCACCCCCATTTTTTGCTGCTCTTCGTAGCTTCCAGATGTGTTTGGCTTCAGATGCCCCACACTTGCTGTTTTTTAGATCTGAATGGTTTCCCATTACTTAGCCTCATAGCGTAGTTCCTCACTTCCTGAAAGTCTTCCGGAAATATCCTCAGACGTCCATCCCCATCATAGTGAATCTTTTGCTGATTGCCCTCTAAATTCTAAAATTTAATCTCCCTCTGACTCTTCATATTCTTCTTTTCTGCTAGTTTTCTCTTTTAGNTGACCCAGTCCAGAATTCTTAGAGGTTTATAAAGCCACCTAGTGGCAGCACTCTAACACCAGGGTACTGCCGGCTTGCAGCCTAGTGTAACACCATGGTTTCCAAACTGTGTGCCAAGGCATATTGGGGCACCACAGTGAATTCACAGGATGTCTCAGCTATTTTGAAGTTTTTAGGGAAACACCTCAAATACTGCAGAAATGGCTGCACAGTAAGGTAATTGGCAGTTTCAGCATTAGATCATGTTACATTCCTTTCAATGACATCATATCTTTGTGAAGCTGGGTTTTTGGCGGTTGCTGTGATCAAATGCAAGATCCATATAAAAATCAGTGTGGAACAGGAATTGTGGGTAGCAAGCAGTGTTCTATCTGCTTCTAAGACTTGAGAAATTGTACAGTGCCCAGGAGATGCATATATCTCTTTAGTAAGTAATTGTAGTTAAGAATGAAATAAACAATTATTATTTTCTTTCAATTTATCTGTATTAGTTTTTAAAAAGGGATATTAAGTTATTAGGACACAAACACTGCTTAAGTTTGGATTCAACCAAGTAATCAATACAACAGTTGGGTATTCATTTTGGCTTAGGGACATCGTGAAAAATGTTATTGAGACAGTGAGCGTGCCGTGAGCTGAGAAAGTTTGGGACCTTCTGGTATTCCGGTATAATAGCTAAGAGCATAAAGTTTGGTGTGAGATAAACCTGAGTCTAAACTTGGCTCTGCCCTCTTTAGCTTTATTCACCTTTTGAACCTTTTCATCTGGAAGTGGAATTATATTAATTCCTACTTCATAGGGTTTTATAAGGATTCAATGTAGATAAAATATACATAGTGGGTTCTTAATAAATGTTAATAGGTTGCTGACAAATGTCCACTGATGTGCAAATTTGCTGGAGCAGGAGCCCAGTCACGGCATTTACACCTGCCCCATGAAACAACAGAGAAGCACTTGTAAGTGGCCAGGTGCCGTGTGAATACTCCAGGTGAGGACAATCTATCCCAGCACTTGAGATTTTCACAGTCACTGTGTGGATATGATTTTGAATCCTAATCTTGTTGACAGTTGAGACTAAACTTTATTGTCAAACCTAATTATTATTTTCCAAAAAGAAGCAGCTAGCCATCCATCCTAACATTGCTCTCTAAGGCAGGCCTTCTGGAGGTCAAAAGAGAACACAAAAATCAGATTTCTTATATTAAAAAAAAAGTGCCATGATAGTTTTCTCTCCAACAGAAATGATTATTATTGATTTACAGTGTAATAGCAGCAAACAGCTTTGGTGATTGGTTAAATGTCTTCACTTCACTGGGGCCATTAATCCATCTTAGCAGCTATTTATTGCTTAGCAGACTACCATGCAATAAAGATGAGCCTGAAATCAACTCCCACAGTAGCTTTGACAGACAAAAATTAATATTTAATGTTACATTACAAGCTGAGTTGAGATTGGGTCTCCTTTGCTGTGCAGCTGGTCAGCTGTAACCAGCATAGCCAGCCTCCCCCTGCAGTGCCTCCAAACATACTGTGGTTTCAGCTATTGTACACAGTCTGATTTGGCAATGATTTGAGTGTCCTGCATTTCATGAATCTGCTGCCCACCCAAAGCATCAACAGAGAAACATATTATACATATAAATTGTCTGAAAGGTGATTATAATTTCTGCTATCACTGGAAGCTTCATGAGTCAAGATTTTTTTTTGGGGGGGGGTGGGTCAGGAGAATCCCACTATATCCATATTTGACCATATGCCAAGCTAGTTGTAACAACTAAGAACAAAGTCCTTTATTATGGTGTGGATGCCTCTTTTATATTCATATCTGTTTTGCCACTACGATTCAAGATTTTAATCCTATTTGATTATGTGGAACAAACCAAGGGTAGGGATGAAATTGAGGGAGCTCAGCAAAATGTGATGAAAAAGAGAATAAGACATTTCCCTTTATCTTCCCTCTTCAAGTTATCACTTATCCCCCTCTTCAGCCTGTGAAAAAATACATACAGTCGACCTGTTTGACCTACTCCAGAGTATGCATAATAATAATAATAATAATAATAATAATAATAATAATAATAATATAAATAATGGTCAACAGTCATTGAATACATATGTTCCAGGCATTGTTATTATCCTGGTAATGATTTTA